AATGGACCTATAGAGAGTATATGTTTTGCACCTTCACCCATGTATCCTGGTGCTTCTCATTTGTAGGATGCTAAATAGCAAGTTTATTTTTCAAAAGACTAAGACTTGAGAATAATAAAAAAGACATCAGAGGAAAAATGCATAAATGTCTCTTGGGTTAAAAGAAACATCATGTGTGAAGAGGTCCCATCTTAAAAGGAGCATTTTCAGCCTTATCAATTTAGAAATGAATGGGATCTTGGCTTTGAAATCGAACCTAGCTTTACATATGTCTGGCGTACTTACCACAATAATTAGGAACAGTGTAAATAAAACCTTAAACAGAAATATCCCTTCATCCTAGCCACCCTTGGGATTGTTTTACGGAGGGGTGGCGGTGAGAGAATGACAGCTGCATGACCTTCCCTTGCAGCACTGTCTCCAGTCCTCAATTCCCCAGATGCTCATGTCGGTTTGTGAAATACTGCGGCAGCTCAAGGCAGGTGCCCGGTTAGTATTTCACAGTCTTCCTGATCCAAACAAGCAAATGAGAACAAGTAGGAAGTGCAATCGTCTTTGAGTTTGGAGGGGAAACAGTCATAAGACGCGTACTATCACAAACCTCATAAAAGAATCTTTCTCCTTCCTTCTTCTGCTCATGGAATTGCAGGTCAGAGATGTTAGACAAAGACACAACACATTACAGACACTACACAACACAGCTTTGACAGATTTTTGAGATGTGAAAAATAAACCAGCGATACACCAAGAACCAGTAGTGCCACAAAGCACACTGCAGAAGAAAACTGATATCAAGTTGACATTGTGCAGTATGGTAAAAGACATCTGCAACTGTGAAACTTTACATATCGTTAGCATATACAAAAATATATTTAATAGTGTATATATGACTATATATACACATTACAAAAGGCTATCGACCATCTCCCTCCTCCTATTCACATTTCCAATGTATTTACTGAAGTATTCTGTTGTGGAGTAATGATCACCTTAGCTGTTAATGGTATTTTAGATTGTTAGCATTTCCTGTTCTTTAGCTAAGCCATGTAAAAACTTGATTATGTCAGTCTCCATAGCAAAGAGATACGCTGCTAATGATCTCTGAGATATTTGGCAAATGCAGGCATAAAAACATACCCACCTCTTTTCCTCCCATGGATTCAAACATTTTTTCCAGCTGAACCCGCAATTGTTGAATATTGTTCATCAATATACAGGGCTTTAAATAAAACAAACAAAACAAAAAATACATTAAATTACTGAATGAGTTTACTTTCAATGTGATAGTATACAACTATCACCTAAGTTCAATTCTATTTGGCAAATAGAATAATTATGCTACTTTAAGATTATACTTTTTAACAGTTAAGAATAGAAGAGAGAAAATATGACCACTTTGGGGAATGAAATTTAATAATATACTTAGACAATAAACCATCGGAGACCTATTACTAGAGGTTATTTTATTCTTAGCATTGTGGCATTTTGTACTTCAAAATTAACCAAATTCAGTTTACTTTTTTAAAGATTTACTTTAAGAAAAACAAACTAGTTTAAACTATTCTATTATTTCACTGTTTCCAAAGCTAAAACACCATCTGAATTTCAGAAATGCAAAAAAAAAAAAAAATACCCCCAAAAAACCTTTAATAAATTCTGGCTATCGATAAAGGCCACCCCTTGGTATTCAAAGCCCTTAGTTATACAGCTCCAAACCATGCTTGTCTTCTCCTCTCCCTCTACTGTATTATGATGAACTCTCAACTACAAGAGGCTTGCTTCCCACCTCCCCAACACCTGTGCTTCCCAGACTCTGTGGCTCGGCTTAGCATGTAGGCCCTTCATTGTATCTTTTTTGTCACTCACTTGACATTTGTTTTATTTAACTTCACGTTTGAGTTGCTTTTGACTGTCTTGCCAGCTGACCTTAAATGCACTGTATGTGCCTCTGTGTCTTTTTCTTACTGAGTACTGCACGGAGCCTCACACATAATACATGCTTTAAAAATGTTCCTTGACTTGTTTCCAAGGAGGCAGAAATATAACAATCACATTAAGATGTAAAGCTTTCTGACAGGACTAGATGTGTCCTCAGAAGAGTAGAAATTAATTTATAATGGAATTCAGAATAGTTATGGAATAATTTAATATTTGCTACATACTGATTCTGAAGAGCCAGCATATCAATGGAAGAAAAGAGTGAAAGAAAGGAAAATGGATATGCCTTCCAAGGGGCTGGGAAATGAGCCAGTAATGAGTCAGAGAGAGGCCTGCAAAGGACTTCCAGGACATCAGAGAGGTGTTAGTGCTCATCAGTGGAAAGATTTTATTATTGTTTTAACCACATTACTGACCTTTGAAAAACTTTCTACTTGACTCTTAAAGTGACCACATCCTAACTTCAATTTACGAAAACAATGTAGAACTGCTACTCTCTTAATTCCAGGCACTTAAATATTTTCTTTTTTTTAACACAGAGATTTATCTCCTATAGATTTTGTTGAGTAAGCTGAACCACAATGTTCTACAAATGATTCAGATTGCCAGCTGCGATGGAGAGTCACTGGATCCAGGCCTAATCCTCTCCGTGGCATGTATGATCAGATTTTCAGGGTGTCCACATCTTGACCCATTGTCAACAAACTGAACCAACAGAGCTTTTTCCATTATGGTATAGGGCCATTGGGGTTTTTTTCTTTTTCATTGCAGAGGGGAAAGAACTAAGGAAGAGGATGACTCAGTGAGAAGCAGGAAGACTACGTGGGTAAAGGTGTTATCACCCTGCTTTTCATGGGTCTAAGTTAGCTGGGTAGTCTCTTTTACGATTATTTGATATTAGCATTCAAGCTTATCTCTTTTGACACATGTAATAGTACTTTAGTTCCAGCTTTACAAGTTAAACCAACCTCCAAGCCTTCTTAATATAATAATTTCCGATGGAAAAGAGCTACTAAGAAGCCAAATGAACAAAGACACTTGGGCTCACTTGGCATGGATTGCCACTGACCTGGGTAAGGCTACATATAAAAACAGAGATGCAGTTATCCAGAGGGAGATAAAAATAAACATGAGACTTTCCTCTTTGATTAAGCTTCCCCTGACCTTGACATGTTCAAATTTCAATTTTATTGAATCAATTTATCAAATCAGTACTGAGAATTGAATTACACAACTGTACCTTAAACCTAATCGGGGAACAGCTTTTACTTTAAAGATTTCAGTGGTAAATGAAAAACAAGCAAAGACAACTAAAAATACCCATAGTAAAGGGAACATTAACCGAATTTAGAAGCATCATTTGTTGATGAGTTTAGTTAGATAAAAATAACCTATGTTTGAAGTTAATTTTTAAGCTTTGTATATTTTGGCTTTTCCCCTAAAAATGTCATAATGTATTTCATTTGCTCTAAACCTAGAACAAAGTTAGGAACCTAAAGTACAATGAATATAAAAGTTAGATTTGTTCAGACTATGGCCATTTCTACATGACCCAAATATATTTTTTTTTACCAAAGTATAGTTGATGGACCATATAAGTTACAGGTGTACAGTATAGTGATTCCCAATTTTAAAAGGGTATACTCTATTATAGTTATTATAAAATATTGGCTACATTCCCCATGTTGTACAATATATCCTGTAGCTTATTTTATACATAATAGTTTGTAACTCTTAATTCCCTACCCCTATATTGCCCCTTCTCCCTTCCCTCTCCCCACTCATAACCACTAGTTTGTTTTCTATATCTGTGAGTTGGCTTCGTTTTGGTTATATTCACTAGTTTGTTGTATATTTTTAGATTCCACCAAATTATGTTTGTGAGTTGAAAAAGATTTAAAAAATAAATCAAGCATTTCTGATTTAGATAATGTTGCTTTGCTATAATGTGGAGTGTGGAAGAATGGATTGAAAACTTGTGACCCATTCCAAATGTAAAATGTCACAGAAGAAAAAAAAATTCTGTCACAGATATTTTGTTTAACTGTCATCTATAATTCTGACCCCTGGGGAAGCAAGTGTTATGGTCATCTCTTAGAAGATGTCTCTCTTTAAAAGTTTCTAGTGCAATTTGCAGATGAAATAGGAATATTGTCATATATATACAGAGACAATAAAAAATAATAATGTTTCAATGTTCTTGATATTTAAAGAAATCTGTAACAGCAGTGATATGTACACACACAAATGGACAAAAGCACTTCTTCAATTTATCTCAGCTGAAAGCTTAAACTAAGCAGCTCACTGATATCCTTTCATGGAAAAGCTAAAATGATACTTGGCATTTGAATGAGAGTCTAAGACTGGTCAAGATATCAGTAATTAGGAAAGAAAAGCATTAAGGAAGGAAAAGTAAGTTCCTGTGCTATAATATTTCAATGACTTTTTTAAAATTTGACTTTGAAAAGTATAAAATATAAAGGAAAAATACAGAGAATAATACAATAAATGCTGATTTATAATTTTTCTCCTTTAAAAAAGAAAATATACTATAAAGTCTGCAGGGGCCTTTTAAGGCTACTTTTCCTTTCTGAATGACAGGAATTAGCCTTGATAATTCATAGCCACCTTTCAAAATCTTCCGTTTGGCTGTCCTAGTAAATCAGAATCTTTTCTGAAATTATCTGTCACTGTTTTGATTTTCAATATAATACTTTTCAAATGTATTATAAATTTAATTGTAGCTATATGCTTTCAGTAAATAAATATTCTATCTTGCCTATTAGAGTATTTATAATCAATGGCAATTAGAAATCACTGCTGAGATACCTGGGAGTTTCAGTAAAATTTCTAGGTAGCATTTTCCTTCAAGGAAAAGAAGCATCTTCTGGGACCCTCAAGAACCGTTAGGACTGACTTATCTTAATGAGCTGTCAGCAAGAGGTCAAGGAGGTTTCAGCAAGAATTCTCTTTAAGACTTGCCTGATAGTGGGAACTGATTTTTTGAGGGAGAAAAAAACACCCTGATTTTTGTCTTGAAAAATCTAGTACTGACTTTGTGTGTGTGTGTGTGTGTGTGTGTGTGTGGTATGTGGGCCTCTCACTGTTGTGGCCTCTCCCGTTGCGGAGCACAGGCTCGGGACGCGCAGGCCCAGAGGCCATGGCTCATGGGCCCAGCCACTCCGCGGCATGTGGGATTTTCCCGGACCGGGCTACGAACCCGTGTCCCCTGCTTCAGCGGGCGGACTCTCAACCATTGCGCCACCAGGGAAGCCCTAGTATTGACTTTTAAAATATTTTTTTCAGTGTTTAAAAAAAAAATCCTATAATGTTACCGACAGATTTCTCCTAAAATTATATATGGTGAATAGAAAGATTTTACCCTCTACCATAAAATAACACTATATTCTAAATTAGTTTATCTTACTTCTCTTTATTCCTTTTATTAAGCTGCAATACTGGCTTAGATTTTATCAATGTTTTCTCAATCTTCCCAAAAATAAAAGGCTGAGTTAATAATTCAGAGTATAAATTAGCATCACTCCTTACATTAACCATCCTTTTCAATTTATTTGAAAACTGAAAGGCTAAATTATACTCATTTTGGTATTGGTGCCAAAACTACACTAGTTGGTATTAACAATAAACAACTTTTTAACTCCTAGGTCCCAGCTCCAGTGTTTACAATGATGAGGGTTTTCAGCTGTTTATATGAGCCTTATTCCTTATCATCATGGAAAACCACAAGCTGGCTGGCATTGAGATGCTCTCAACCTTCCTTTGAATTCTATTTTGTACCAGTTCAGGACTACTAGGAAATTTTCAATTTCTTGAGATCCCTATTTTCTATCATCCTGTATGAAAACAGAAAGAAAACAACTTCCTTTGCTTATTAGTTTGAAGAAGTGGTTCTCAACTGAGGAATACTTGAAAGTAGAGACATTTTTACTTACCACATTTTCCTTATCACAGTATGAACTGAAATCACTTGATACAATTACAGCATACTGAAGCAGAACTTTATTGATGGTCTAGGAAAAAAACATTGTGAAATATATCCAGGTAAGTAAAGACCTATATGTATGTCTATACAGATATATGTATCTATCTCCACACACACACACACACACACACACACACACACAGTCCAGGTTATGTTAACTGGGAAAACTTTTCTAATGTCATTTTCAGCTGAACAATGGCCATAAGTAGTGATTAAATCTACACCCTTGCCAAAAGAAGGATCTCAATTAAACTATTATATTTAGATGACAATTTGTAATATTTCCGAGTACATTTGGAAGATACTCCACATGCATCCATTCCATTTTAATACAACCAGCTCCATCACAAAATTCTTTATTTCTAACTTATCTAAATACTCAGAAGTTTGGTGTATACTGTTTGGTGGTAACCTCCTCTACGCTTGGATACTTATTACCTAATGCCCCCTAATGATTTTTCTTTTCCTGAATGAATGACACTTCATGCTTTCATCATCTCTCATGGTTTCTAGTTCCCATCCTCTCCCCCTCCCCCCCCCCCTATGGCACGTGATGTGTAGCAATGAAGAATATATGAAGAGGCTCCTTCCCCAAGCAGCCAGATTCATGGGGCATTATTCCGTAGTCCCCCCCCCCCCCCCCCCCCCACACGCACCCCTACCATGACAAAATTCCTTGTGATGGTTATTTTTTCAACTTTCCTAAATACCTCATTATGAGAAGGGGGTCAGAACATTCCCATATATGTCACTTAGCAATGAATATTTTCAGTAATTTTCTATGATAAGGAGCCTTACTAATAACAAAGACCACCTCTTAAGACCTAAACTTCAGCTTCTGTTGCATCACACTATCTCAATACATTTACCTTTAATTAGTAAGTTATTTACTGGTGCAATATTTGCTAAAAATATTGCCTAATCCTTCCCCTCTTTCTGTCTTTTTCATCTTAATTCCAAATTTTCCTTCTCCATATAATAACTCTCTCTGAGCCTAAGGATGCCCTCTGCTCGCATTAATGATGCAAAATAAGGGAAAATGAACAAACTTTGTTACATTTTATTTCAACTACTTAAAGAGATATTGATGAGTTTGCACCCTACTGCTGTTACTTACAGAGCTTGAATTATCATGAGTCCAATGTGGACATGATTTTCTTAGAAGAGAGAAAGCAACAAGAGCAGTAGATACAGACCATCTCTTTCCATAGAAAAGCAAAGACAAAAAAGATTTTATTTTTTGTATAACCTATTCGTCTGAATTTTCTTTGCGGCTCAAAATCAACTTGGGGTGACAGTCCAAGGAGTTAAACTAAAGGAGAGATGTTTAATTTACAAAGCTGAATTCACCGAATGTGACTATGAACTCATTTTATAGACTTTAAAAATCACAATGAAAACCTGAAACCTGAAATTAGGGATAACAGAAAATCCATAGTTTGTGGAAGTACAAGGTAAAGTGATAATATGCATCAATTTATATGGAAGACTGGCTTTGGAAAATATAGCATCTTATCAAGCAGCAGACCAATAAATCTAGGAAAACAGGTGATGGATCAGACTGAAGTATCTTCCAAATGCACCTGTCCAAAACTTATTTTAGATGTAATGTTGAAAATTACTTTGGGACTTACCTAATGAGTACTGATTTACTCATACATATGAATACTACTCTCAATTTACAGGTTCTTATGATAGTGTTACCTGCAGGAATCATTTCACTATATGGCAAGAACAAAAACCAACAGAAGCCTGACTTTAGGAGCTTGTTGCAACTCAGACTATCACTTGTTCAAGAGTTAGTTTGGGTAGGGGAATCCAGACATCCATTTCTTATTATTCTTAAGGTCTTCCCATGGTCTAATTCTTGCCTCTACTTCATAGGAAAAACCTACTCCCTTGAATTCCTGCTGGGAGGAAACTGACCCCAAGATCTCGCATCCACTAGCCTACAAATGCCAGTGGTTAGCAAGTCCGGATAGGTTGCATTTAAGGAAAAGGGCTCAGCCATGTAGGATGTATTTTAAGGTCTTGTGGCCATAAGAGTTGTGAGTACACTGGTTATAACAACATCCATTTCTTTGTGAGTATACAAAGTACACCTGAATGAAAGTGTTCATGTACAGTTCAGGAGCAACCTCGATTTCATTCTAATTTATTCAACAAAGTAAAATCACTACTATATATTAGTTCTTTAATTAATACTAGTGAGTACAGTTGAACCTTAAACAACCAGGGGGTTAGGGGCGCTGACCTTCCGCACAGTGGAAAATCTACTTATAACTTATAGTCAGCCTTCCATATCTGTAGTTCTTCCATATCTCCAAATTCAACCAACCACAGATCATATAGGACTGTAGTATTCACTATTTAAAAACTGTGGACCCCCATAGTTCAAACCCACGTTGTTCAAGGGTCATCTGTAGTTAGTTAAGACATGTCTACTTCAGGCATGTCTCCAACAGTATCATAACCATCACCTGGGAACTTGCTGGAAATCTGAATTCCCTGATCCAGTCCCAGATCTACTGAGGCAGCAATTCTGGGGTTGAGTCCCAGCAATTTATGTTTTAACAAGCCTCCAAGTGGTAGTGGTACAAGCTGAAGTTTGAGAACCATTGTCCTACCTAATGCACAGCAGGGTGGAGATAGCTCTTCAGAGAGAACCAGTTGATGGGATAACTCTTCAGAGAGAACCAGTTGATGGAAGGGGTACCTAGGAAGGTCTGGAAGGTAGGATTTCTGAGTGTGTGAACTTAGGTCACGATTTTCTTTTTGGTGGACTGTTGGGCTTCAGCAGTGGGGACAGTATACAGAGAAAGACAGAGAGAGCCCCTGCTTGTGCTTTTTGAGGCCCTGCTTGTGCCCTCCCTGTTCCTACACTCTGCCTCTAAAACAGCCAGTGAAGTCTGTACAAATCAAAACTGACTCTCGTTCAGTCTGGACTCTTCCCCATTGCACTCATTTACTGCTAATTAAAATCTGTCCTTACAATTTTAACTAGTATCTGGCTTTGTTTATTTTTGACAAAGGCTCCCCCACAGGGCTGCCCAACCAGTATCCGATGTTGGGTGGACAGGAAGTAAATCTTGTGTTAAATCATACAGTTTCTTGGTTTCCTTGTTACCTCGGCAAAACTATCCTACTACAGTTAATAAAGATTCTGCCTGCTACAAGAAGCCCTTTCCTAATCCACCTGTCAGTGAACCAGGCTTAAACGTTTCTAAGAGCCAGAGCCAATGACAGGGTCAGGCTCAAGCCTCCCATTCATAAAGGATCTCAAATTTAGACTTTTTGTGATAACGCAAATAAAGTAATCTACTCTTGTGTTGGTGTCTGTGATTGAAAGCAGTGGCATGTTAAATGTATACACCCTTTAGGGGCTGAATTTTGTCCCTCAAAATTTGTATGTTGAAACCCTAACTCCTAATATCTCAGAATATGACTGTATTTGGAGACAGGGCCTTTCAAAAAGTGAGTTAGTTAAAATAAGGCCATTAGTGTGAGCCCTAATCCATTATGACTGGTGTCTTTATAAGAAGAGAAAATTATGACACACATAGAAACACCAGGGTTGTAGGTACACAGAGGGAAGACTGTGTGAGGACACAATAAGAAGATAGTCATCTGCAAGAAGCCCTGAGAGCCCTCAGAAGAAAACAAACCTGCTGACACCTTGATCTTGGATTTATAGTTTCCAGAACTGTGAGAAAATTAATTTTTACTGTTTAGGCCACCATTCTGTGGTATTTTATTTATGGCAGCCCTAGCAAATTAATACGTCTTAAATATTATACAATTTCACTGAGTTTTGGGGTGTCTTTATTTTTTAACATGATCTATATCTATATCTCTCTACCTATCTCTCTCTCTCTGTATCTATATATAGAGAGAGATATAGATATACACTAGGCCTTTTTCAACCTCTGAGATACCCTGATTATAGCATTTAACTTTTTCATAGTTGTTTATAGGTTTGGCCATCTCATTATAGGTTTTTTGAGGTCAGAGATTGTGCTTATTCATGACTACATCTCTTAAAGTGGCTAGTAAATTGTGCAAGTGAAGCAAAGAGTAAGCCCTTGTCAAATAAACAGCCAGCTGAAACCTCTGCCATCATCCAACGCATGAAGCCAGGCTTATCCTTAGGGCCGTCAGGCGTAGGAGTGTGTAGGTCATTGCCCTACATCCCTACATTTGTCATATCACTACCGTGATTCAAAATCTCCAAATATTCACTGTTTCTTAAACTGTTCAAAAGATTAAGTATAAAATTCTCAGCCTGGGAAGCAGAGCTCTTCAAGATCTGGACCCATCCTCACTCACCTAACATTCCCCACTACTTCTCCCAGAACAGATCTTTTCTTTTTCCTTTTCCTTTTTTTTGCTTTTTTGCCAGAGGATTGTTTCTCCCTGCTCTTCACGTCACGCTCAGTTTTTCCTTTCCCTTTGTTCCTGCTATTCCCGTGGCTTACAATACTTTTCTAACTTCACCTTTTTAAGCTGAATGAGCCCTGTTTTCCCAGGGAAACTGTATTTCAGCTCTCATTAGTTTTCCTTCCGCTCAACTTACTGTGCACTCTACTGTGCTTGAGATTGAATTGTGGCTCTCTTCATGCCATCTTCCAATTAGTTCATGTCATGTGGTCTTGATTATTTTATATATATATATATATATATATATATATATATATATTAAGATCTGAAGGGCCAGAGACAGCATTTTTTATTTTTTATATTTCCCCAGAAACTTTTGCAAAATAGTAAGTACTTTGCAAGCCTTCTTAGACAGTAAGAGGAGGAAGAGGTCTTCAGAGGAATCTGGTTGCTCAAAATCAATTTGCCAACTAAGAAAACTGAACTCATAAAAATCAAGGGACGTTGTGACCTTGCTTGTGACCACCTAGAGGGGTGGGATAGGGAGGGCGGGAGGGAGACGCAAGAGGGAGAGGATATGGGGATATATGTATACGAATAGCTAATTCACTTTGTTATACAGCAGAAACTAACACACCATTGTAAAGCAATTATACGGCAATAAAGATGTTAAAAAAAAAAAATCAAGGGAACTGCTCAGACTCACACTACAGTTACTGGATGATTTGAAGTTAGAACTCAGTTTTCATTACTCCAAGTTCAAATACTTTTTATCGTACTACTGATTAAAAAAAAATACCTGCGATTTGAATATGAAATTCCAAGATTTATTTTCAGCTACAAAGCTGAAATAGAAATTAATTTGGCCACCTATGGTAGTCTCATCAATTACAAATGACTGAGTCATTCATGTGAATAATAAATAGATTCTTTAAGATGATAAATCCATACTTAGGAAACAGGAAGGGTAAAAAGAGAGTTAGATGACAAACCTGAAACAGCCTATTTTTACTGGAATTAGAAAATTAAATTGGGGTAGTAGTGAGACAAGACTAATGCTACAAAACAACAGCATTTTTCAAATTCTGTGTAGGAAAATAACAACATGCCATAGTCCCAGCAAAGAAAGGATTCATTCCATTTAACCTACCTTTGCAAATCTTCTCATTAAGTGAGATAATGCTTCAGGATTGGGGCATTCCAGTTTCCTAATAATCTCAAAGCTCTGATTAAGCTGAGCAAAGACATCAACCACAGAGGAAGAAAACAGTGCATGATCAGATGTCTGCTGGAACTGAGGGGAGAGAAGGTGAAACCATCCTCATAAGCAAACTTTAGAGGGACTGTGGAAGGAATCTTCATTATTTCACAAAAACAGCTCAATCTCCTATATCATGTACTTTCATTTCCTAGTAATAAAATGCTTGCTCATTTTAAAATCATCCATCTCCTTTTCTGGAAAGTGTAGTAAAACTAACATCATGGGGCAGGTTGCTATTAACTGGTTTCTCCATTACTGAATTGAGGGACTGGTTCTTTCAATTTCTCATTCCCCACAGGCATTAGGATGGTTTAGCAAGCCGATTGTGGCTCAAGACATTTGATTTGCTCCAGAGGGATTGGGAGGGTGTCTGTTCCTAATCTTGGAATCCTGGAAGGGTTCCAGAACAACAGGGGAGCTTTGTATAAACCCACTGAACTTGTAGATTCAGACCAATTCAAGGAGTAAAGAATCTTGGGGCAAAAGGGTGATCGATTTTTTTTAAAAGCAATTCCCTAGGGTTCTTATCAGCGTTTAAAATTGTGTTTTAATTATAGTTTGGTAATGAGAGGATTAAAATTAAACTTAATTAATAGCAATAAGCCTAAAAATTCCCATTAGCTTAAAAGTGAGCAGTGTAAATGAATCTTGACAATAAGCAATCTGAAAGTCATTTAAACTCACTCCATCTTTTTTGTCTCTTCCCAGGGCTCCATTAAGGAACTCCATTGACACGTCTTCATTTTCATCTAGCCACTGCATGACAAAAGGTTCAAACCACCTGAAAAAAAAGTCGATAGTATCGCATACTATAAAAGATGTCATTTGCACATGATTAACAGTGAATACTGCTCTTTTCTTATCTGAGAGTAATTCAGGACCAAAAATCTCTTTTCGTTTTCTTTTTCTAGTTCTGCTACCTTGAAGACCTTTAGTTTCATTTCTCAAACATATCCCCTTCTCAAAATTCTTTGGCAGTCCAGCGGTTAGGAGTCCAAGTAAGCTTCCACTACATGGGGTACAGGTTCATGGGTTCAATCCCTGATTGGGGAACTAAGGTCCCGTATGCTGTGCAGTGTACCATATACATGTATGTGATATACACACACACACACACACACACACACATATATATATATATATATCCCCTTCTCTTTTACCTTCAACCTCTACCTTTCTCTTGGCCCTTCCAATGCTGCCTCAAATATGCTTAGTTCCCACTTCCCACTCTACAATTCCCTTTAAAATTCAAAATCCTGTAAAATGTAGATCTTGTGTGCTATGTCCCCCGCTGTGCCATTCTCTCATTTCTTAGGGCTTTACCATCTGGCTTTCATCTACATGGACTCATCTCCTGGAACTGATTCTGGGTGCTCACCTTTAACTTTTAGTGATCTGCAATCCACCAGTAGGTGGGTTTTGTGAATGGTCTAAGTTTCAAAGTTCTTTTTTCCGTATGGATGTACGGTTGTCTAGCACCATTTATTTAGAAGGTCATCCTTTCCCCCACTCCTTTGAGTTGGCATCTTTGATGCAAATCAGGTAACAGCAATGTGTGGATTTGTTTCTGGACTATTTTGTTTCATTGGTCTATTTGTCATGCACAACACCATACAATTAATAATTAACTTTTGAATAAGTCTTGATGACTGAGTGCAGTTCTCCAACTTTTTTACTTCCTCTTCAAGATTGCTATGGCTAGTCTTAGCCCTTTGCATTTCTATGTATTACATATTTTTGAATGAACCTGTCAATCTACACAAAAATAGCTGCGGGACTCCTTATGGGATTGCTTTGAATCTGTATGTCAATGTGGGGAGAACTACCTCCTTTACAGTAATGCATCTTTTTAGGAATATTGTATATTTTTATTTAGTTCATCTTAAGTAATCATCTCATTAATATTTTATAGTTGCCTCAGTAGAGGGCATGCACATCTTTCATCACATGTGTTTATCACGGTTTTAATGCCACTCAAACGGTATTGTTTATATGTAATTTTCTAACTGTGGCTATCACATAGAAATTCAATGAACTTACTACAATCACTTTTTAGATTCTATTAGTTTTCCTAATACTTTCTTTTGAATTCTCTAGGTGTATAAATATGTCATATACACATATGGATAGCATCATTATATGCTTTTACAACCATTATACTTTTCTCTTTCTTGTCTTATTGTACTGCCTGGGACAATATATTGTTTTATATTTAGTGTAATGATTGTAGCGATTTTCTCCTTCATAATTTAAATGTGGTGATTTACATTCACTGCTTTAAAAATGTTTAACTAATCTCATATTCCAGGAATAAATTCCCCATGGTCATGTTCTATTACTGTTTTCATAGATCACTGAATTCTATTGGCTATTATTTCATTTATTTTTAAAAACTATGGTCAGAGAGAAATTGGCCTGTAAATATTCTTTTTTTTTTTTTTTTTGCGGTACGTGGGCCTGTCACCGCTGTGGCCTCTCCCGCCGCGGAGCACAAGCTCCGGACGCGCAGGCCCAGCGGCCATGGCCCACGGGCCCAGCCACCCCGCGGCATAAGGGATCCTCCCGGAGCAAGGCACGAACCCGCGTCCCCTGCATGGGCAGGCGGACTCCCAACCACTGCGCCACCAGGGAAGCCCGGCCTGTAAATATTCTTACTTGTCATGTTCTCAATAGGTTTTAGTAGTGAGGATATGCTGACCTCAAAAAGGATTTGAGAAGTATTCCTGCCTTCTCTGGAACAGTTTGTGTAACATTGCTGATATTCTTTCTTAAACAGTTGGAAGAATTCCACTTGGAGCCATCTGGGCCTGGAGTTTTAATTGTGACATGATTTTTATTTAAGGATTCAAATTTTAAAATAGTTATAGACCCGCTCAGATTTGATCTTTTTTCCTATGCTAGCTTGATAGGTTTTCTTTTTAAAGGAATTTGTACATTTTGTCTAACTTTTAAATGTGCTACCATAAATACTCTTAATAATTTTTTTTTTTTTTTTTTTTT